TTTCCCTAATACAAAAAGAGAAAATTCCATAAAATGGAAAGCAATGAGATTCCATGTTGATAAAGCAGAATTCTTTTCCATGAAATTCAAGAAGTTAAAAACAGCGCTACAGCACTTCCCTCGGACTGAAATGTCTCGCTACTTCATGGACAAGAAAAGGTATCGGCAGTTAACCAGCAGAGGCAACATTTTGGTCGTATTAATTTTCAAGCTTTAGGGCTTAAACCAGCATTTAGTAAGAACATAAGTCACAATAAACCCTGGCATGAAGCAGAAGACGATCTCAAGTTTGCTCAATGCAAGATTCTTACATGCTCCTCTGAAAACAATTATTCTTACGGTGTTCAGTGTCAACAGTTGAACAGGCTCATGGCGTATTTTGTCCAATACCATTCTTAGCCCATTCCACCTGGATTCTAAAGTAGCAGCAGGATCCAAGCATTTCTGTTAAACTACGTGTAAGTTATACTCTCAGTTGTCAGTGTAATGCATGAGCAGGCTTATGTTACTTTTTACCACAAATTAGATGTTAGGACAACAGTAAGTCTTACCCCTTTCTTTCCTGGAATAGCACACTCCCAGTTCATTAGATTCATTGTGCCATCTGGATTTTTTGTAGGTACTGCTACAAATCCCTGAATTAAGGCAAAAAGCCAAAGGGTGAGGATTTCAGATGTACTTAGAATACTTCATGACATATTTTATCTTTACACAGAGTTCTTTCTTTTTGCACTACATAGTTTTAAGCAGCTTTTTTTATTTAAAAAATTAATTTTAAAAAAATCACATCAGGGTAAAGAAAAAAAAAATCATCATCAGAACACCAAAGTAACCGCAGAGTCAGAAATTTGACAGTTCTCATACTTACAAATGGATGATCTTTTCTCCAGGCTTTTCTCTCCTGTGCAAGTCTGCTAAGAGCTATGCCAGACATATTCAGAGTCCCTCTAAAACAAAGATAATTGCTTTTAGTATAAACTTTTACTTATAGTGTAAACAACACTTTATATTATCTGTTCATAAGCCCTGCTCACTCAGGAAATATTCTGGCCTCTGATTTTCACTTCTATAGCCAAGACACACATTTTTGCACACCCTGCAGAAGTTAAAATGAGGAATAACATCGAGTTTCCCCATGTCAACAACCTCTTAGTTACTGGACTTGACCTACAAAATACTATCCCCACCTTGTGTTTTATATTTGAACCACATCTTAGAAACGACCTTAACAGCAGCTTGACAACAGAAACACTATTAGTAATGGGAAAAGTGCTCAGACTTCCTACTTGTGTGACTGATAAACACCTATCTACCTCCTTACTACACCACAAAAGGTATGGCTTTCTTCTGTAGGCAAACACCTGTACAGCTGCTGTTTTGGCAAACAGGGAAATAAGAAATGTTATTTTTAGACTGTAAACTCCCCTTGAAAGCCAGTATTCTACACAAAAGCAACACAAGCACAGAACTTAACAAAATCACATCAGTTTTGCAGCAATGCCACTATACAACTTCTGCACAGCAGCAGGAACAGACAGTATTACAGAACTCAGCTAAGGAAGAGCCAGTGGCCCACTCATTCCACAAGACAGGTTTTCAATTCCAGTATAAACTGAACTATCTCCCTGCACCTTCACTGCCTTAGTAACAGCCAAGCGTGGTGACTGAGGCTGCAGAAGAAACACACAGAGCACAGGTCACTACTGCATAGGACACAAGAACAGTTCTAGACAGGATGGTTACAACAGTGGTGCCTTCAAATTCAGGGGAGGATTCTCCATTCACCCAGGACAGTAGTCAAAGCAATAATTTATTTTTCATTGTCAAACTGTATCTAAACTCAGGGTTTCATTAGCCACGCGGTCACAACAAACTCCAATGAAGGTTTTTAATCCTCCTCCCTACTGCACTTCTGCCCACTTTAAATAGGAGCTGATACTAAGCAGTTGGAAAAGTCAGGCCAATTTGTTCTCAACTCTACACGTAGCTAACAAGCCTTTATGACAGCCAGGAAGGTAGAATTCTTCCACTAAACAAGCTCACAGAACTAATGAAAGGAGTGTTACCACTCTATTAAACATTTAAACACTGGTTAAGAATTATGTAAAAATTCACATGCTATTAATAGGTAGATTACTCGTAAGAGTACTGCAGTCTGCTACTGTAACGATATGAACTGCAGCTCACAAAGATCCTTGTTTCAAAAATCTCACACATTCACGCTATGCCCTTTAGCATGATGTTCATGCTGAAAAGATTTACCACGCACTAACCTATTCCATGCAAGATATGTAGATCTGTTCATCTCGTGTTCATCTGCTATACCCTTCAAAGATTAGAGAACAGCATGCTTCCAATTTAAGTATTTACACATCATCAAAAGTGGCTTAGCAGTGCAGACACCTTAACTAAAAGTCTTTAAAAGCACCAGATGAAGAGTTTTATGTAGTTCCTAGGACAGCTGGTATTTCAAATCCCTCCTTCTAGCTTTTTTTTTTTCCAAAGTCAGTTTTGCATGGATGGCCACAATTTCAACTTCAAACTAGCAATTAAATTCATGTCAGATAAAGCTTTTTAAGAGGGACCATTAACACTCAGCAAACATGCACACAAAAATCCTATATTCAGTCCAATATTCCTCTAGTATTCCCAACACGTGCACCTGTATCTTGGTTACGTCAGAAGATTTGCAGGACTTAGCCAACACAAACTGTACATACCACTTCAGAGTTTAGTCTGTTCACACACAGGAGATGTGGAGCTACTGAAAAGATACTGTCAGAACAAAAAAACCTCTCCCTTAACCAAACTCTACAGGGAGTAATTTTAAATATTTTGTGAGCCCATGCCCTTGCAACAGATGCAAGTGAACTACTGAACATACAGCAGAATTTCAGTTGTGCTGTTAGTACCTGGTGGTCCACTCTAATAATACTAACCTTCCCATAATAATTTGAGACAATTATTTGCACTTATAAACCATTCAAATATTCTTAGATAGTTTAGTAACTCAGCTACCTTTTCTGCTAAGAAACATATTAGAGGATGCTTTCAAATACATGAATTATATTTCCTGTGGCTAATAGCCAATTAATTACATGCACCTCAAAGGAAATGCCAACTTCTCAGAGGGCATATAAACAACGTACGTCCTACAGAACACTGACAATCAAATAACTTTTCAACAGAAAAAAAGCAAGTTTTCAGGCTCTGTATCCTGCTGGCTTTTGCGACTCGTTATGCACTATACTGAGCCCTAGTAAACTGAAGATTTTCTTATGTTCTACAAATACCTTTTCAAATCTTGAGGTATTTGACTTAGTTAAGCACTTATAGACTACATCCAAAATTTCAGTGTATATGAGAGACCACGGCTTCATGTATATGGTCTCCACAAGCTTCAGTTACCATGACAAAGGCAGACAAGCATCTAAAACCTCATCACAAACTACTACCAAGTAGAAATTAGAGACAAAGATGACTGAAAGCCCACTTCAAAAATTAAGATCCTGTTAGATAAGCATCCCCTCAAAAGCAAATTAATCTATTAACAAATTGCCAATATATACTCTCTAGCAGTTCTTCAGTAGAAGAATTTAACTTTAGTTCTGCTGGAGCTTGAGATAGAACAAACAGAGACTGATCATCTCAGTGTATATTTTGGTCTCAGAAGTTATGGAGTAGCAGGAAGGAACGAGATACTAAGTGGGTATTAAACCTGAAGAGACGATATTCTCACTGCTACTTTTATCTTCTTCAATAATTTATGTGCATGGTTTGTTTGTTTGGGTTTTCCCCTCTCTCTCCTTTGGAGTAGTAGTTTGGCCAAATATCTGTATGTTAAGTGTAGCTCTTGCAAGTTTTTGAAATACCTTGCAAATGCAAGACATCTCTATTAACCTGAAATAGTTAAAATAAAAAAAAAAAAAAGCACACACCAAAAAACCACATACACCACACACACCACCAAAACCAAACACAAACAAAAAAACCCCAAACACCCCAGTTCTTGGTGTTTTGATTATTTTTTTTTTTAAATATCACATCTAATTTGTTTTCTTCACCTGAGAAGTTCACTACTAATGAACAGAACTGAAGTCCCAATATATTTATGCACTACATAACTGAAAGAACACAAACTTTTGCACTGGAGGAATTACATTGACCCTACCTTGCAGGGGCCACACAAGCCTAAGAGACTTCACATCTCACATTTTGTTTGGTTTTAATTCCCCCCCGCCCCCCGAAACACACCTCGTCATTAAGAGCTAGCAATGTCCCTTTTATTGATATCAACTCATTGGAAAATTAACAGAAACTCCCAAATTTACTCAGTAGCTTGCCTCTGCTGCTGTTACTACTACCTATTTTGGAAAAAAAGGACAAAACAAAACCGACACACTCATCATAGGCACAAACTCTGTGTTCCATTACAGATCATCTTACCCATCTACACCCTCTGATGGGGGAGAGGGGGGAACCTACTTCCATACACAAAAAGCAAGTCTGGCAAAGAAGCGCTCCCGTGCCACAGGAACAGCAATCCCACCCACAATTCTGAGCCATGACAAGTCTCTAAATACATCAACGACATGCTCTTTAAGTCTCGAGAACTTTCAATAGCTCTTATTAGTTCCACACCACAAGAAATAAAAATCGTTAAGATTGCTAGCCTCACATTTTTACTTTGCAGATTAAATACCGACACAGGAAGAAATGATCAGCTGGAGTAGTTTGCCCCAAAACTAGACAAACTTTACTTTTCAGAAGGCTGGAGAAAACCAAGGGCTGAGGATTAATCGAGGCACGCTAACCCGTTAGGACGGGAACGGAAAGCCTCCCCCTGGCCGCGGCAGGAAGGCGGCAGAAGGGACGGTACCGGCCGGACGCTGCCCGCGGCGCAAGGGGCACAACAAAAGGAGCCGCGCGGCAAGAGGCTTCG